TCATTCGTCAAACTGATGATTGGATTGGGAAAACTAAAGAAATACGTGGATGGATTTTTTTGGGTTTTTTTGGGCTTGTTTGGGGTTTTTTGTTTGGGTGGGTGGGTGTAAGCGAAATTAATCAGATGGTATTTGTATTGTCGTGCAAGCCACAAATAGTTCGGTGTGTACGTGTGTCTGGTCAAGACATTGATTTGAGATTTGAGAAGATCTTTCCCAACCCTGATATATCTATAGAAACAGGAACGACAGCGATGAAGTTCAGGTAAATTAACGAAGGGAACATTTTGGAGGCTCTACGGTCGACCGTGGGCTTAGGTCGGTTGACCGAAAACATGCATGAGTACAAGGTGTGTTTCTACACTCTGGCCGGTCAACCACCACGGTCGACAGCCAAACCCTGTAATGGATTTTTGGTTTCTGTCGTTCTGTCTGGTCGACCGTGATGGTTTCGGCGATCGACCGCCAGTCTAGTTTGGATCTGATTCCGGTTTTCTGTTCTGATTGGGTTTGTGTTTTGATATATATATTGAAACATGATTTTAGGGTTTGGTATTGATCAGAATTTGTTCTGAATTGAGAGGGATAAGGGGTGATTTTGAGATTTCTTGTGAGAGAAAATTGGTGAGAGTTGAGAGCTTTATTTGAGAGATTAATTTGAGGGTTTGTGAGTGATTTGTAATCTCTATTTTGTGTTCTCTCTCTCTAATAGTGAAAACCCCTCCCCTTCTTGCCCCGTGGACGTAGGCAACTTGCTGAACCACGTAAATCTCCTATTTTGAGTTTGTGCTGTTATTTCTGATTTGATTCTGTATGTACCTTCTCTCTCGACAACTTTATGGATTCCATTGCGCCGCCACACAACAAGTGGTATCAGAGTTTCGGGCTACGTTTGGGGTTTGGTAGAGGAGTAGTTCGCTTTGGAAGCTCTTCTAGTATTTCAATTAGAGATAAAGGTATGATCTTTTTGGTAAAAAAATTCTACATTTTATCAGTTTGGATCTATTCTTTAGTTTGTTTCGTATTAGTTTGTTGGTGCTTTGAGGAAGATAGCCGGGAAAGAAGATGCATCAGTGTTGAGAGTGGTACTTCTAGAGTGAAGACCATTAAAAGTTTGAATATCCACTCTATAAAGATAGTTGTGGAGAAGTTTAATGGCATAAAAAACTTTGGTTTATGGAGATGTGATGTTTTAGATACGCTGAACGCATAAAATTTGGAGGATACTTTGGAATTGGATGGCAAGCCGGATGATATTGAAGAAAAGGTTTGAAAGATGATGAATCAGATGGTGTGTGGCATGATTATGTCTTATTTAACGTAGGATCTAAAATATGGTGTGATCAATGAGACTTCTGCGAAGAAGATTTGAGAGATTCTTGAAGGCAAGTATTTGACGAAAAGTGTTAAAAACCGCTTGCATTTGAATAGGGTACTTTATCGTATCCAGTTGAAGAAGAGAATCTCAATTAGTGATCATATGAACAACTACATGAAATTCTTACGGATTTGACGAATGTGGATGTCATGATCGAGGATGAGGACAATGCATTGTTGTTGTTGAGTTTCTTGCCTGGTGAGGAATATGAGACCTTCGTTCTTACCCTAATTAATGAAAATGCATCCCTTTCGTATAGTGAGGTTACCGCTGCTCTTGTGAATTATCAGCTAAGGAAGAAATAAAATGAGTCTTCAAACGACACAATAGCAAAGGCATTGACCGCAAGAGGGAAAAGTCCAAACTGAAAGAATTGGAAGTCGTAGTCTAGAGTAGAGTATCATACAGTTAGCAAAGATCAGTATGCTTGGTGTAAAGAGACTGGTCATTGGAAGAAAAATTATCTAAAGCTAAGCAAATGGATGAAGAACAAGCAGAAGGAAAAAAGAGAAATAACCATCATCAGAAGCAAACATCATCGAATCAGATGATAATATTTCTGACTCATTTGTTTTTCACTCTCTATCAGTCCTACAGGTTGCTATTCAGAGGAATCCGAGTGGATGTTGGATAGTGATGCAACCTATCATGTGTGCCCTAAAAAAGAATGGTTCTCTAGTTTTGAGAAGCTGGGTAGTGGTGTGGTATACATGGGTGATAACCGTGTATGCCAGATCTTTGGGATAGGTAAATTTTACATCAAGATGTATGATGGATAATTAGAAAGTTACATGGTGTGAGATATGTTCCTTCCTTGAGGAAAAACCTGATCTCGATTGGAGCTTTAGCTGGAGAGGGTCTGAAAGTTCGTATTGAGGATGTAGTTCTCGAGATTGTGAGAGGCTCTTGTATTGTGATGAATGACGTCAGGAGGAGTAACTTGTACTACTTGACTGGAAGTATGGTGACAGGTGAAGAGGTGGCGACTTCTATTGATTCGACTAGACTGGGGCATTTGAGGCCAGGCCATTCCAGTATTGATTTGGAGAAAGGTGCATTGACCTGTAGTTTGAAGTCCAGTGAACATTTTGATGTGAGCAAAAAGATCGAGGTGAAGTTTGGAACCTCTATTCACCGAGCTAATGGCCTTCTAGATGGAGTTCATGTAGGCATTTGGGGGCCTTTCAAGGAGGCATCATTGGGAGGTAATAGATATCTAGTTTCCTTTGTTGATGATTGTTCTAGGCATGTTTGAGTTGCAAGCAAGTCCTGTTTGAGTAAAGTCCTAGTAGTCTTCAACTGGTGGAAGAAGTGTATAGAGACTAAGACAAACAGAAAAGGCAAAGTACTCCGTTCTGATTTTGGTAGGCAGTACAAGAAGGAACCGTTTCTATATTTGTGTCGTGCTCAGGGCATTTTGAGACACTTCGATGGAAGGGAAATCTTGGGGCAACTAGATGGGGTGACAAATTTAAAAAATTGTGCCTTACTGGAGAAGGAACGATGTTTGTTGTCAAGCAGAAGTTTGCATAAGAGGTTCTGGGTTGAGGCTTTGACATATTCGAGTCATCATATTTATAGGTTATCGTCTGCTGTAATTGGAGGTAAAACTCCATTGGATAGTTGATCTGATAGTGTCACTTTTGATGAGGCTTTGATGATGGAGCCTATTGACTCTCAGGAGGTGGAGAGTTTTGGATAGATCATAGATGTATCATATATAGCGGGTGGAGAGTGATGTCACTTCACGTTTGATGGAGATTACTCCTTATTCTCCAGATCATTCTATATTGTTTAGGATTCTAACTGAGGTGACATAGTTTGGGGATCAGATAGTTGATGTTGATATAGATGATGAGTTTGAGGATCAGGAACCGGAGGTTCAGGATCAGATTTCGAGTGCGGCGGGTGGACACAGCTCAGATTTGGCTATGATTGGTAATTGTATTTCTTCTACATATAGATTTGAGGGCTTAAGCTCCAAGATAGAGTTGGTGGGGAGAGATGCAAGTTTGGAAGAGAGTTTGCCTTTTCACTTTGAGGCCAACAGGGGCGTGATCAGCTGCAGATTGGTTAATGATGATGATCGAAAGGTTGGTGAAGGATTGAGAATTCTTCTAGTTGATTGAGGTCGTTTGCGGCTATTTGGATGAACTACGTGAGGCTTGATTCCTTAGGCAAGAGGATACGTAGGCAGTCATTTTGATGCAGCCGGTTTAATGAGTTGATACCAACATTTTAGAGTTTGTTCGCATTCTCATTTGGGTTCTCGACTTGTTGTGGATTGAGTTCGTTATCGTGGATTGTTCCACTTCGTACTGGACGTAACAAGTGAGGTGTTTGATTTGGTTGGTGTCGGCTCAGTTTTGGGAAAACTTCACCGAGGTGGAGAATTGTAGAAACGGGAACGATGGCGACAAAGTTCAGGTAAATTGACGAAGGGAACATTTTGGAGGCTATACGATCGACCGCGGGCTTAGGCCAGTCGACCGGAAATGTGCACGAGTATTGGGCGTGTTTCTACACTCTGGCCGGTCGACCGTCGCGGTTGATCGCCAATCATTCTATCCAGTCAACCGCGATGGTTTCGACGGTCGACCGCCATTCGGGTTTGGGCCTGATTCTAGTTTCCTATTCTGATTGCGTTTGTGTTTTGATATATATTGAAACACGATTTTAGGGTTTGGTATTGATCAGAATTTGTTCTGAATTGAGAGGGATAATGGGTGATTTTGAGCTTTCTTGTGAGAGCAAATTGATAAGAGTTGAGAGCTTTGTTTGAGAGATTAATTTGAGGGTTTGTGAGTGATTGGTAATATCTATTTTGTGTTCTCTCTCTCTCTAATAGTGAAAACCCCTCCCATTCTTGCCCCGTGGGTAGGGGTGTGCAACGGTCAGTTCAGTTCGGTTTTTATCAAAATTTGAACAACCGAACCGAACCGTCTATAATTCAAAACCGAACCGAACTGTTGCAAGTCGGTTCGATTCAGTTCGGTTTGGTTTGTTCGGTTCTAACTTCATCAAACTTCTTATCAAATTAACAACAAACTGTGTTAAAGAAAAAAAAAGATATCAACAAAGTAGGAGATTATGAAGCATTAAACACTAATATAATGATATTGTTTGCAACCCATAATGATTCAGAAAATGAGTTTAGGGTTTGAGTCTTTGACTCTTTGGGGACGGGTCGGGTAGGGTTTAAGATCAAAATGGGTAGTATTGAACTATATTCGGTTGGTTCGGGTCGGTTCGGGTTAAAAAGTTTTCAAACGGACTCGAACCGCCCTACTCATAAAACCGATTTTTTTTTATCTGTTCGGGTCGGTTCGGTCAGTTTTTTCGGTTTGGACCGAACCATGCTCAGCCCTACCCGTGAGGGTAGGCAACTTGCCGAACCACGTAAATCTCTTGTTTTGAGTTTGTGTTGTTATTTTTGATTTGATTATGTGTGTGCTTTCTCTCTCGGCAACTTTGTGGATTCCGCTGCGCGGCCGCACAACAATATCTGATCTTTTTGACATGAGTAAGGGGCGGCTTCATGTAATTAATTTTGATTTCCTTCGGATCAATTGTAAACAAAATGACAAGGAAATACTAAAAAGACGTGACCCAAACACAATAATTATTCACATAACGTTATCTTATTCGAAAGATCACACAATTTACACACAAGCCATGGTCATCAACAAGGAGCAGTTATCACGCACACACTTGATAAATGGATCACTAATTACTAGGTAGGGATTGTGTTATTAAAAGCTAGAGCTAGCAGCTCGAGAGGGAGTCTTGAAGGCGAAGAGAAGCAGAAAGATCAAGGTGCGGAGCATCAAATTAAGGAGTGTTTGTCTGGAGCTGTCTTCACGGTCTGACATCAGGAGTTGGGGGCTGTTTCGGGTGAGAGAGTCGTGAGCACATCTTTGCAGCAGTCTGTTGTCTTGCAGTGTTTGTGTTCCATTGTTGCCGCTCCATACAAATTGCTCTGCAATAGCTGCTTCAAACTACTATTTGGATTGGGATCGGGATCGGGATCGGGAATGAAGCTAGTGTTGCTGTTTCCCAGAAGACCTGAAGTAGGTGGAGTCGAATTCATCATCTTGAACGAGTTGAAAACTGAGTGCAGAAAATTGGAGGAAGCAGAGGAGGAGTAGTGGAATACTAATGGATTATTATTGAAGCAGTCGCCCTCGTTTGGCCCTTTCTCATCCTCCGACACTGTAATACTGGAGAAGCAGGTCACGTGAGCTTCTGGTGGTTCTGATGCTGATCTGTTACGGCGATCGACCTTGCAGTTAGGACTGATGACTGTAGCATCCATCAATGGAGGTAGCAGAGGGCGGTTACCCTCCTCATCGTCGTCATCCTTATTAGTACTAGTAGTAGTCCTGGGGTCGCCCCCCAAATGATATTCCAATTCACGGGATGATTCATTATAATTATAAGAGGCAACAGAGCAGGATCCATGATTAATTAATCCCATCATATTGCGAATGCTACTTGCAGCAGCAGCAGCAGTAACTTCGACATCTGAGCTACTACCCTTCTTGAATACCCTGCATATCACCCACTCCCTCTGCTGTATATGTATATGCATATGCACAATTAATCATCATTAAATAGCTACAAATCCAAAATCATTCACAACAAAATAAGATGGCTAATTTATTGCAAATTTCTTTTTAAAAAAGAATCATCAGGTATAAATTGATTAATGAAACAAACAAAAAGTATGTATGCAGTGAAAAGGAATTAGCAGGTGAAATGAGTCCTAAAAATTTTATGTACCTTGAAAAGAGCTGAGGTGGGGAGGTCGTAAACACGAGTGTATTTGCCCTCCAATCTGTATTCGTGCATGACCCAGTTGGTTTTGTGACCCTTGGGAGCTCTCCCTCTGTAGAAAACCAGGGTCTTCTTCATTCCCACCAGCAACGTCGACCTCACTGCTGGTCGGTGTATCTCCTTATCCTTTCCTGTAGCTTTCCAGTAGCCAGACTCAGTAGCTCTGTTGGTCCTCAGCCCTGTTGGGTACTTCCTATCCCTTACACTGAAGAAGTACCACTCCTTCTCTCCCATACTCCCTCCTCTCCCTTTTATTATTACACCAAATTTAAATAACTCAATCCGATGTGGTTATTTAAAAACGATAACAACGTACTATCTGATGATAATAATAATAATAATAAGGGAAAATTGCTTGGGGGAACCAAATAAAATTCGGAGAAAGGATTTACCAGCTAGCTAATTACTACTTAATAATTTTCCCTAATAATAATAATAATAATCAACAGGACATATCTACATATAGAACAGAGAAAGGATTTACCAGCTAGCTAATTACTACTTACAGGGCAAATCCCAAGGCTCACACCTGTTGAGGTCCACCTCTCCAATGGCTATGGCACTGAACGCCTCATCCAGCACCTTCTTCGAGAGGTAGTGCGTTATCAACTCTTCATCGGTCGGATGAAAACGAAACCCGGGGGGCAACTCCATTAATTTCCCCTTCCAAGACATAATTGAACTTAAGTCAATTCACTCAACTGAAGACCAAAGCATTCCTCAATTAATTATCTATGATCAAACTGAAAAAACCAAATGAGATTTTCTCTTCTTTTCATACAAGACCAAATTACAATAAAACTTTAAACAACAATTTTATAAGAAAAACAAACATATAAGAAATTAGAGCAAACCAGCTAATATATATGAACCTTGTGTTGCTTGCGTACATATGTTTAAATCAAAACGAAAGAAAAAGAATCGAGTGAACTAGCTAGCTAGCAGCTGATTAAAGAGTTTTGGGAATTATGAATAATTAAGTAAGGTTTTCAAGGAGAGAAGTACCTTGATAGATAGAGCAAGCTATTTGATTAACACATACAAAATATTGGATTAAAAATTTTCTTTACTTCCGTTCACTTCTCTAACCTTCTTGGAAGAAAGATCGAAGCCGTTTAAGGAAAGAAATGCTTATGAGGGTGATGACTCTATATAACATAATTATACTACTCCTTTCCTTTTTTTTTTCTCGCTTCCCAGTATAGTATCCAGAAATATACCTCATCTCAATGAGACGTGCTGCCCAAGGCACTTAATCATAATCATTTTATTGATATTTTGTTCTGTCTTCGTTTTTAATTATCCCTGTCTTTCTGCGTCTTACTAAGGTAGTGATGAGCAAACAGTCATTCCAGTCGGTTTTTACAGATTTTGACAAAATCAAATCAAATCATTCTATATTGAAAATTGAATCAAACTCAGTGAATACTAGTTTGGTCAGTTCGGTGAGGTCTATTTGGGTTGGACTTGGACTTGGACTAGTTTAGTTAAGAAAAAAAAAATCTACTTTGACAAATAAGAAAAACGGATATCAAGAAATCGGTGAAAGAAAAATATGGAGTGGGAGATTGATAAAAGAATGAGTGAAATAATAAACAATCTAAAGAAAAAAAAAAGAGAAGAAAGAAAGAGCATGTTTTTTTAGCTAATTGAGAAAATGGCTGGTTCAACTAGTGAGCCGATGGAAACATAATCCTAAATCGAACAAAACCGTAAAACTTTGGTGGGTTCGATTGGTTTATTCATTTCAAAACGATTATTTCTCATCCCTATACTAGAGTATAAAGGATCTCCTCCCAAACTTGACCACAACTTTAACATAAATTCTGACAAGATTATAATAGCCTAATATATGGTTCAGGTTCCTAACATGCAAAAGAAAATCTTTTATTGGCTACTTGGTTAGGTGAAAAATATAAATTGCAGCAAATCTTGTTGCAATAGATGTATGCAAAATTTATTACAAGAAATCAACTTCAAAGTCGATGTTTAAATATCTGTAAATATATTGTAGGAAATCTGCAATTATATTGTAGGAAATATATTTCTAAATGCAAGTTTAGTGTTTGGATGAAAAGCAATTAGGCAAAAGCTGCAAACTTTTGTCATATAAGGAAACTTGGGTGTGAATGACATTCATATTTGGGCTTAAATTTTTTTGGTGAGGTGAACTTATTTTTTTTAATTCTCCTTTTTAAAGTCTACATCGTTTCCTCCCACCAAATTGGTCATAGGCTTTATTGTTGGGAAATAATTAACAGTATAATAAGACATTTCTCGTCTTTGTGATGAGATGAGAACAAAAATAAAAGAGAAAAACAGAGAAATAGAGAGATTGCACACACAAGATTTACCGAGGTTCAGCTCAAATTGCTGTTGTCTTGCAGTGTTTGTGTTCCATTGTTGCCGCTCCATACAAATTGCTCTGCAATAGCTGCTTCAAACTACTATTTGGATTGGGATCGGGATCGGGATCGGGAATGAAGCTAGTGTTGCTGTTTCCCAGAAGACCTGAAGTAGGTGGAGTCGAATTCATCATCTTGAACGAGTTGAAAACTGAGTGCAGAAAATTGGAGGAAGCAGAGGAGGAGTAGTGGAATACTAATGGATTATTATTGAAGCAGTCGCCCTCGTTTGGCCCTTTCTCATCCTCCGACACTGTAATACTGGAGAAGCAGGTCACGTGAGCTTCTGGTGGTTCTGATGCTGATCTGTTACGGCGATCGACCTTGCAGTTAGGACTGATGACTGTAGCATCCATCAATGGAGGTAGCAGAGGGCGGTTACCCTCCTCATCGTCGTCATCCTTATTAGTACTAGTAGTAGTCCTGGGGTCGCCCCCCAAATGATATTCCAATTCACGGGATGATTCATTATAATTATAAGAGGCAACAGAGCAGGATCCATGATTAATTAATCCCATCATATTGCGAATGCTACTTGCAGCAGCAGCAGCAGTAACTTCGACATCTGAGCTACTACCCTTCTTGAATACCCTGCATATCACCCACTCCCTCTGCTGTATATGTATATGCATATGCACAATTAATCATCATTAAATAGCTACAAATCCAAAATCATTCACAACAAAATAAGATGGCTAATTTATTGCAAATTTCTTTTTAAAAAAGAATCATCAGGTATAAATTGATTAATGAAACAAACAAAAAGTATGTATGCAGTGAAAAGGAATTAGCAGGTGAAATGAGTCCTAAAAATTTTATGTACCTTGAAAAGAGCTGAGGTGGGGAGGTCGTAAACACGAGTGTATTTGCCCTCCAATCTGTATTCGTGCATGACCCAGTTGGTTTTGTGACCCTTGGGAGCTCTCCCTCTGTAGAAAACCAGGGTCTTCTTCATTCCCACCAGCAACGTCGACCTCACTGCTGGTCGGTGTATCTCCTTATCCTTTCCTGTAGCTTTCCAGTAGCCAGACTCAGTAGCTCTGTTGGTCCTCAGCCCTGTTGGGTACTTCCTATCCCTTACACTGAAGAAGTACCACTCCTTCTCTCCCATACTCCCTCCTCTCCCTTTTATTATTACACCAAATTTAAATAACTCAATCCGATGTGGTTATTTAAAAACGATAACAACGTACTATCTGATGATAATAATAATAATAATAAGGGAAAATTGCTTGGGGGAACCAAATAAAATTCGGAGAAAGGATTTACCAGCTAGCTAATTACTACTTAATAATTTTCCCTAATAATAATAATAATAATCAACAGGACATATCTACATATAGAACAGAGAAAGGATTTACCAGCTAGCTAATTACTACTTACAGGGCAAATCCCAAGGCTCACACCTGTTGAGGTCCACCTCTCCAATGGCTATGGCACTGAACGCCTCATCCAGCACCTTCTTCGAGAGGTAGTGCGTTATCAACTCTTCATCGGTCGGATGAAAACGAAACCCGGGGGGCAACTCCATTAATTTCCCCTTCCAAGACATAATTGAACTTAAGTCAATTCACTCAACTGAAGACCAAAGCATTCCTCAATTAATTATCTATGATCAAACTGAAAAAACCAAATGAGATTTTCTCTTCTTTTCATACAAGACCAAATTACAATAAAACTTTAAACAACAATTTTATAAGAAAAACAAACATATAAGAAATTAGAGCAAACCAGCTAATATATATGAACCTTGTGTTGCTTGCGTACATATGTTTAAATCAAAACGAAAGAAAAAGAATCGAGTGAACTAGCTAGCTAGCAGCTGATTAAAGAGTTTTGGGAATTATGAATAATTAAGTAAGGTTTTCAAGGAGAGAAGTACCTTGATAGATAGAGCAAGCTATTTGATTAACACATACAAAATATTGGATTAAAAATTTTCTTTACTTCCGTTCACTTCTCTAACCTTCTTGGAAGAAAGATCGAAGCCGTTTAAGGAAAGAAATGCTTATGAGGGTGATGACTCTATATAACATAATTATACTACTCCTTTCCTTTTTTTTTTCTCGCTTCCCAGTATAGTATCCAGAAATATACCTCATCTCAATGAGACGTGCTGCCCAAGGCACTTAATCATAATCATTTTATTGATATTTTGTTCTGTCTTCGTTTTTAATTATCCCTGTCTTTCTGCGTCTTACTAAGGTAGTGATGAGCAAACAGTCATTCCAGTCGGTTTTTACAGATTTTGACAAAATCAAATCAAATCATTCTATATTGAAAATTGAATCAAACTCAGTGAATACTAGTTTGGTCAGTTCGGTGAGGTCTATTTGGGTTGGACTTGGACTTGGACTAGTTTAGTTAAGAAAAAAAAAATCTACTTTGACAAATAAGAAAAACGGATATCAAGAAATCGGTGAAAGAAAAATATGGAGTGGGAGATTGATAAAAGAATGAGTGAAATAATAAACAATCTAAAGAAAAAAAAAAGAGAAGAAAGAAAGAGCATGTTTTTTTAGCTAATTGAGAAAATGGCTGGTTCACAACTAGTTCGGGTTAAGATTTTTTCAAACCGAGCCGATGGAAACATAATCCTAAATCGAACAAAACCGTAAAACTTTGGTGGGTTCGATTGGTTTATTCATTTCAAAACGATTATTTCTCATCCCTATACTAGAGTATAAAGGATCTCCTCCCAAACTTGACCACAACTTTAACATAAATTCTGACAAGATTATAATAGCCTAATATATGGTTCAGGTTCCTAACATGCAAAAGAAAATCTTTTATTGGCTACTTGGTTAGGTGAAAAATATAAATTGCAGCAAATCTTGTTGCAATAGATGTATGCAAAATTTATTACAAGAAATCAACTTCAAAGTCGATGTTTAAATATCTGTAAATATATTGTAGGAAATCTGCAATTATATTGTAGGAAATATATTTCTAAATGCAAGTTTAGTGTTTGGATGAAAAGCAATTAGGCAAAAGCTGCAAACTTTTGTCATATAAGGAAACTTGGGTGTGAATGACATTCATATTTGGGCTTAAATTTTTTTGGTGAGGTGAACTTATTTTTTTTAATTCTCCTTTTTAAAGTCTACATCGTTTCCTCCCACCAAATTGGTCATAGGCTTTATTGTTGGGAAATAATTAACAGTATAATAAGACATTTCTCGTCTTTGTGATGAGATGAGAACAAAAATAAAAGAGAAAAACAGAGAAATAGAGAGATTGCACACACAAGATTTACCGAGGTTCAGCTCAAATTGAGCCTTCGTCCTCATCCGCCCCTTCTTCACTGTTTCCACTATAATCAAATGAAAGCTTACAAAGGGTATTCTCTCAAGTTGGTATAACTTAACTTGAGGATCACTTTCTCTCAAACTCATTTGAGGATTATAACTTTCTCTCAAACTCACTTGAGGATTACAGATTTGTATGTGGTTCTTCTTCTTGCTTCTTGTTTTTCAACCTTCACCATCTCCCCTCTATTTATAGGGAGGATATGCCTCTTGGTACACCGTATTCATTGCATGGGAAAGTCCAAAGACTGGCCCTTCTTTTTCCCAATGCATGAGGAAAGACAATCTAATGCATGCATGTAGTCAACCACAAAATTTTCATGGATTAAATTCATATTAATTCATCATGGGGATGGACCCCGTTCCCATCAATCTCCCCCTCCATCCTCATGAGGAGAAAGTTTTCAAACAGTAGTCATACATGTCTTTCTTCGGCAGAAGTCATGCTTCTCTTTTGGTAGAGGCTTCG